ATCTGTTCCTCTTTAAACTAGCAGAATTAGGACAATGTCCTTTCCTTTGCTACACCTTAATATTGCTAATTCTAAGCCTAGACATTTCAACAAACAAAAAAATCCTCACCCTAGAACCTCAGAAATGTATGAGTTGACATAAACTTCCAGTTTCCAAGAAAATAATGCAGACAGTTGAAGAGGGCATGGAAACTCTACAGAGTAGGGCTGTGGTCAGGGAAACTGGTAGGCAAAAAGCTCCTTGAGATTTTTTGAGTCTACACCAAAACGCCTCTGTGGTTCTTCATACGACCCTTCCTTGTCAGCGTCCTCGTGCGTTTCCGTTCTTCCCACATGTGGGGTCTCGTGGGGACCTGGCTGTCTGTAGCTTTCAGTGTGTCCTTTGCACAAGGGTGGAATTGTGTCTAACAGTCCCTAATGCTGGCTGCACACAGTGTCTTTACAAAGACTTCTATTTTGTAGTCCCTTCAAGGGGAAAGGGCATGCTTTGGGCTAAGAGAATTGCTGTGTAGCTCCCAAACCCAGCTCACTCCCACTTCCTGCCGTCTGACAGCTGCAGGTTTTAAGGTTCTCTTTTTAGCATCGTTCTTTAAAAATTTCAATAAGACGTGAAGTCATATTATAGAAACAATCTCCCTATCTGGCCCAGTAGAGCCTGTGTGCAGGTGGGGCCCTTGTGATGCTGAGATGGGGCTGCTTCGGTACGTTTTCTTGGGTTCCCCTTAAAATGACACTGGCCATATGGGAGCTCTTACTCTCCTTGTTTTTGATTTCCAAGTTTTCTGTTTGTAAAATAATTGCTTCTCAGAGCTGCTGACAGGTGATAATAACAAAAATAAAACTGATTTGAATTCAGTTATCCACTCACTACAGTCATAACAAAAGAGGCAAGGATTAGCCCTGTGTTCTGGGCTTCTCTGAGGCTTGCCCACAAGTAACAGGACACAGGACTCCTACCTATTTTGCAGGGTTGGTGTGAGTAACCAATGAAATAGTGTCTGCAAAGCAGCTGATGCAATTTTCCTTCTCCTTCTCATAGTAATTCTAATAATTTCAGAGGAGCAAATGCTTGAGAAATGAAAGTTGCAGTTTGGGTTGACGCAGGGGGTTTACAAGAGATTTGTCCCTCAAAAGAGGGCACTTTCTTTTTTTTTTATTGAATGATAGATTCTTTAAATTCTATAGTGCTTTACAATTTTCAAAAGTTTCACACACGTGATTTCATATAATCCCATAATAACCCTGTTTTCCCTACCCCTCAAAAGAGGGCACTTCCTTATGGTAACAGTAAACTTGGAGGGTCTGTTTAACCCTATAACTCATTTACAGAGTTGGAGACACCGCTGTATCAGCGAGTGCACCAGTTCATGTGTGTGTCTGTCTGTCTGTCACTGCATCCAAGTTCTTCCTTGTGGATAAGATGCCCTCTGAACCCCAACATTGGCCACCTAGGCCTTTGCTTTGATTGAGGCTTCTTAAGAAGGGAAGGGATTGAGGGGTCTGCCATAGAAGCTTTATTTGAGCACATGGGGTTCTGGCCCGTCTGGGATGCAAGGCCGAGGTGGAAGGAAGGGCTCCCTGACACCTGCCAGAGTACACCTGGCAGAGAACGGCAGTTCTCACCCACCCAACCGCCGTAAGGAAGGCGGTCCCTATCCTCCTGCCAGGGCCTGGACAAACAGGGGCTTTAACAGCAGTAGGAGTAATAATAGCAGCAGCTAATATTTATTGACCACCTGCTAGAAACGGTATTTTCCCCATGTAATCCTGATCACAACCCTATGAAACAGAGACCATGATTATCCCCAGGAAACCAAAGCCCGAAGATTTGCCCAGTGTCTCACAACAGTGTGTGTGTCCACATATACACTGGAGAAGTCCTCTCCTTTCCTAACGTAAACTCCATGAGCCCACCTTTCCCCTCCAGCCAGACGCTCAGAGGCCACTCGCAGGTCTACTGTCTGAGCCCCATGAGTTGAGGATACGTGGAGAGCATCGTCTGATATATTTCTGATAGGTTTGGATGTGTCCTGTTGCCCACAGTGGAGAATAAACTCCCAACGGTCAGGGTCCACGAGGGTCTCCTTTCTAGCTCTCCATCATGCGGCTCAAGGAGTGTCTCCTGGGTGGTCTGGGCCAAGGCAACAGCTGGCATCTGCTTGGACACTGTCACCAGGGAGGTGTCATTGGGGACACACTTCTCTTGTCAGGAAGATTGCTCACCCAGCTTCCCTGCCCAGGAGACTTTTTTTCGCAGCAAGTAAAACAAGCCTGGAGATGACACCAGGCTCAAAAACTCTGCAAGGAGCAGGGGTGAGAGTTGGCAAGGTGATAGCAGAAGAAACCAAAATCTGCTAATTGGTGAATCATTCAAAGAGAACACGCAGTCTGGGGCCGGTTAGCACGGGAACGGGCCACCCTCGTGCTTTTGCAGGCCCCGAAGACTTCTTGGTGTGGCAGCACTTTTTTATTTGTCAGACACACGTGTACACATGTGTACACACATACAGGTATAAAATTATGTGCCAGGCCCGATTTAATCACTTTACTACTATTGACTCACTTAATCTTCAGCAACCGCGTGAAGTTGGTACTGTTGTTATCTTCATTTTACAGATGGGGAAAGTGAGACACAGAGAGGTAACTTGATCAAAATCCCAGAGCTAGTGAGTCACAGAGCCAGGATGACTGCCCAGCCAGGTGGTACTGTCATGCATTAGAATGATGCTGAAATATTAGGAGAATGTGAGCTACTTCCAATATACAGATAACTGTGACAAAGAAACATGTCATACGTTTGAGAAATAGCTGTATGCGAAATTATTATTTTCTTTATGTTTTAGATACTTTTAGTAACAAGTCCCAGTTATAAAGAAAATTTTATTTTTAAAGGAACTTTCCCCCCAGAATTGAAACATGTAGTGTGTATTTAAAAAGAAAGAAGTCGGGGCTTCCCTGGTGGCGCAGTGGTTGAGAGTCCGCCTGCCGATGCAGGGGACATGGGTTCGTGCCCCGGTCCAGGAAGATCCCACATGCCGTGGAGCGGCTGGGCCTGTGAGCCATGGCCACTGAGCCTGCGCGTCCGGAGCCTGTGCTCTGCGGCGGGAGAGGCCACAACAGTGAGAGGCCCACGTACCGCAAAAAAAAAAAAAAAAAATCACGAGAAAAACAAAAGAAAGAAAGAAGTCAGTCCCCTCCCCTTCCACTGCTGCTGAGCTAGCTGTTTTTGCTCCTGCCCATAGCCATCCATGGTCAAGCCTACTCTCCACATGTTTCTCCCGCCCTTGTCTAGGTCGTGGGGAGGCTTAGATGCCAAGCGCTTTAGACAGTCAGGACATGGCTCTGACTTCTGTTGGAAAGAAGACGTGGACTTTGATCACTCATGCAAAACCCTAAGGTATTAACATGGGATGTTTGCAGAGACCAACTCCAGCTACCACCTATGCTGTCTAGTCAGAAAGTTAAAGATATGTGCATGGCATGCCAAAGATTGGATGTCGGGTAAAAGCTTTATGACTTCGGAAAACTTCTGGGCCTCTCTGGGCTTTGTTTTTCTCATCTGAGGAATGGGAGACACAACAGTACATAAGACATAGGGCTGTGGTGGCAGAATCAGCAATACTTGAAAAGTGCTAAGCACAGTACCCAACATGGAGAGAGCATTCGGCAAACTTGAGCATCGTGGGATGTTACCTGTTCACACTTGTGTGATCCAGGAGTAGAGGGCTCAGTCCAGTTGAGCCAGTATGATTGTCACTCCAGGAAATTTGAAACAACAAACAGACACAGAGACTGGAAGTCACTGGAAGTAGAGCACATTAATAGCCACTCTCAGGAGGTAAGGTCCATGTTGTTCCCACATCTGTCCTTTCCAACCTTGGTTACTGAACCTTCACTTCTTTGGGATACCTTTGTATCTTTCCAATGCATTCCTCTTTTTTTTTTTCTTTAAAAAAAAAAAGAAAGTGGTCAAAGGAGATAAATAGTATGAATACATGACTTTACACAAAGCCTTTATCTGTGACACAGGCAGGACAGGGACTTGTTTCCGTGCTCTCTGTGAGAGACTACAGACCAAGGAGCCATGTGCTTTGACCAAGACAGCCCGGTGATGTCAGACATGGAGCTTAAATCCCAGGCCTAACTGTGCCTTCATAGAGTATATAACCTGCTGGAGAGAGGATGAAATATGTTCAAAAGTAACGGCTGGATATAGTTCTTAAGCCCTCAAGTAACCTGTTTTGTTAGGGGATGGATGCATTAAAAGCATTTTTGCCTTCCTTGTGCATCCCACACATACCAAACATAGTCCTAGATATGTTATACATATTCAGTGAATCTTTGTTTTTTAATCCCTGTTTTAACTTAGAATGGATTAAGGGACTTCCCTGGTGGTCCAGTGGTTAAGACTCTGCACTTCCACTGCAGGGGGCATGGGTTTGATCCCTGGTCGGAGAACTAAGATCCCCCATGCCACACAGTGTGGCCAAAAAAAAAAAAAAAAAAAACCACCAACACATTAGGGTGGATTAAAACTAAGACATCCCTAGATTATGCCATCCTCCTCTGTAAAAGTGTAATAAGTTCTGGGCTTGGAGATTTAGCTGTGGAGTGTGAACAGCCCGAGCAGAAAGGGACTCCGTTCACTGTTCATTTTGGTTTCTCCTGTTCATGACAAATTGGTCTCCAGAATGGATAATCCATTTGGTAATGACTTGGTGAAAGGCTGAGTCTTTCCTGTGCCTAGTATAAGTTCTTACCAATACAAAATAAGGGCTTATTGGGGGCTTGGTAAAACTTCCATGCTATGAGGTATATACAGTTTATAAATCAGCCAACACGTATTTATGACTTAACCTACCTGGTGCTCAGTAGTCAATGACGGAGCCTGGCTCCTGTTGCAGGGAGACATATACTGAGAGACAACCGATTGCAAGTAACTATCTCAAGCCTTGCTTTGGATTCTCAGTCACATCTTATTCTTTTCTTTTCCTCTCAAGGGTCGAGATTACTGTTCGGAAGAAGAAGATATCACATAGCACCAATTCTACCACTCAAACTGGGAGCTACTACTGTGTAAATAGGTTACACCCCACGTTGAAATCTTTGCAAAGGTCGGTTCTCTTCAGCGAACAGCACTATAGCAAAAGAAGATCGTTCCATATCGTATGCCCCATTAAATTACAATGTTTCTTAATGAACTTGCAAAGGAATATTGCTAAAAACAAAACAAAAAAAAAACTGTTATCGAACTTTCTTTGTTGCTGCTAGTTAAAACTTGTTGCAACTTTCCACTTCTCTCAGTGTCCAGGTCTGCAGCAAAATTCTGCAATTTCACCTTAAAGATACTGTTGGTTTTACAGATGCTCTCCAACCTATTTTCTATAAGATAAGGTAGTGGTGAACTCAGATATCCAACTTCTGTCCTAGACCAGTTCCGCTTCTAAGACAAGCGCCTCCTTCCCTCTCTCCTCCTTCCCTGCCTTCCCCTGAGCAGTCCAAAGCCTTGCTTCTCACTGGCAGTGTCGCGCTTTGGAGAGGGGACGGTTGCTATGGCAAAAGCCTTGTTTCTCTGTGAAGAAGAAGTAGAGACGCTGTTGTCGATTAAAAGCATGTTGTGACATGACTCCTGGAGGTGACATAGGAGCGAACGGCAGGTGGTTTCATTTCCTGGGTCTCTTAATCAAAGATCAAGCTTGCAGCGTCAGTTTTGCTCCGATGCAGACGGAAGTGTGATCACAATCATTTTGAATCCCTCTTGCCTACTTTTTTTTCTAAGAAAATAAACATTTTACTGTTTTTATGTTTCCTTGTCTTCTCCCATTCATCCAGCTTAGTGTTTTATGATGATCCTGGGTGCGGAAGACGAGCCCTCCTTAGCAATGACTCCTCAGTGGCTCCCTACCATCCCATTTATAACCCACCAAGCATTCGCAGTGCTGACAGTGGTCAGAGGAGGTGAGGGAACGTCCCACGGCTTTTTAGGAGGGCCTGAAACCACCCTGTTAGCTTTCATCCTGTTAGCAAATAAACCACCCTACTTCCCTTCAAAATGGCACGTGGGCCTTGCCACTTCCTTTCTCTTACTTGCAGCACTGGATGGTGTGGTGAAAAGCGTTTGCCGACTAGAAAACATAGTACATGGACACTGGTGATGATATTTGGAGATGCGAAAGCCAAAGCCCCGGGCAGTAGTGGGGAACATGAACTGTGGGTTTGGTAGAGTTTATTTTTCCATATTCTATGAAGAGAATGGTCTCTTCTCAAAGACAGAAATAATATTTTTAACAAATGTTGTCACAAGTAAAATAGCAATCAAAAGGAGAAAATAACTTTTGTATATTTTTAACATGTTCGATACCTTTGACGAGGGTTCTCTTTGTTACTTTCAGGGGAGGGCACCCTATTCAGTGCCACGCCAGCCGTCCAGGTGTGGGTTTGGCCCACAAAAAGAAACACAGCAAAAGCACTGTGTGTCTCTCTGTTTGCAGGGTTGTGAACGCAAAAGGCCTCAGCATCAGCCACACTGCCACCCTCCGAGGGTGGGTAGTTAATACGCTCTGGGTAGTTGAGAGATCACCTGCCACAGAATAGAATAAGAAGCTTAGTGTGTTCTTGCTGTGAAGATGAGCCTTGACCTGCAAATCCATCCACAGAGCTGGTGGCACCACTAACGTGTTCAGGGGGAGATTCCTTATCTCCTTTTAGACCCGGCACACACCAAAAGTGAGGGGAGGGAAACTCAGTCAGGCACCAGAGAAAATGGACTCAAATGTTAGCAACAAAAGCCCTTCCTTCTTCCAGCCAGCAGCGGCAGCGATTTGGAGGAGCAGCTGTGGTTGTTACATAAATAGAGACGCAGCCAAAACTTCAGGCTTTTTATCCAGCTTCGAGCAGGAAAAACGCAGGGAGAGTTCGAGTCGCCTAGGGTTTTATGTCCCCTCCCTTTCTATGGTTTTTGGCCAAGTGACTAAAATAGTTTTCCCCAACTGTAAACGAACTGCTAAGCCCCACCTTAAACTTGTGCGCCAGTGACTTGTTCACTGTTCCTAGGGTGACCTTTTCCCGAGATTCCTTGTTCTTATCCGGCAAGAATGAAGCAAACACTAAACGTCTTCCATTTCGCTCCTCTATTTGGTGTCTCAGTGTCTTCCCAGAAAATCACCACCTTCCACGTGGAGATGAAACAGGCTCACATCATTTTTCTAACGGTCACGTTTAACATTTTGACATGATACACGTGTACACAGAACCACGTGTCTCTGGGGAATCTGATTTTTGAGGGTTTCGTGAAACCTGAAGTGGTGTGCCCGTGAGCCAGTGGCTTTTCACCTGGAGTTCTGTCTCCCGGGTTTAACACAGGGTACCTCTTTGATGGGCAAAAGTGATGTCATCTGCAGACACATTCGGTACATCTAGAAACAGATCTGAGAAATGGGGTGACGGAGCCAGTTGGCGTGAAATACTTGACTATGTTAGCAACGCTCAAAACTGTCTGTTTTCCATTTGTTGGTTTTAATCATAAAATTGTCAAGGGATCTGTGTTTGTACTTTATTTTTTTATGCCTTCTGAAAAGGTCTCATGCACAAACATTTGCCTTTTTTTTCCCCTGTGTTTCTGAACATTAAGCCCATTGTCTTAGATGCAGTGAAAGAATATTCCAGAAGCTGGTGCTTCTGCTGGCTGTCATCTCTGAGGACTCAGGGAGATGAAGGAAGGAGGGAGGGAAATGGGCTGGCGGATGGAGGTATAGACAAAGAATGAGAAATGGACCGAGAGGCATTTAGGACAGAGAAGGGCGATGGCTGTGTGCCCGGTGCAATTCAAAATCCAGCTGCTTTAGTGGCCAGTGGGTGGGGCAGACTGTAGGCAAGATTTACAGCTAGATTACACATGCCTTATGGGCTCTGAGTTGTAGAATTGTAAAAGTTCAGCAGTATGTGCGTAGCTTTCTTTTGGTTGGCAGAGATTCAGGATCATGGAGTACTGCTGTCATAATTGAATGCGTGTTTGTTACTGGCAGAGAACCCTGAAAGAGGCTTTTACCTCATGGTGCCTCCTAGCCCCAGGCTGGAGCGTAGGGTGGTGTTACGGTCTATTTAGGACAAAGAAGGTACAAAGTCTGGAGACAGAAAACTAGGTCGGCCCTCAGACATAGCAGCGGCCACCCACCAGCCTGCTGGGAGACAGGTCTCTCCCCGTCTGCAGTGCCCAGGGTCTGAGACGGAGCTTTGATGCCCTGATTGAGGAGCCTCGGCTCCTTAGTCCTCCGTGCTGGTGCCAGCCTCCTGCACCTCCGTGTCAGGGGCTCACCCAGGGTCAGAAGCAGCCATAGCTGCAAGCTGACAGCCCCCGGGAGCAGGTCCAGGGATGATGGCACCCCCCTTTCGGTCCCAGTTTGAGTTATAACTTTGTCTCCCTTACAGTCTCATTGAGACTTATTTTCTCTTAGGGCCACACTCTCCCATAAGCCTGCTAAGAACAGAGATTATACCTCTTATGCAGTTTACCTCAGCAGCCTATGAGGCCCGTTGGCATATTGATTATAAGTCCTGCTTAGACACTGGGCAAGAATTTAAAAGAGCGTTTCCATGTCTACTGGTCTTGTCAGTATCATAGGAAGAAAAATTATCAAATTCTTAATCTAGGAAAATACTGACTCTGAATCTTGGACTCCGGGACTCTGATATCTTTTTTATGAAAGGCAAAACAATTGGTATCTAAGGCTCTCTCCTTCCTCCTCCCAACTCCCTCATAAAAAAAAAGGTATCAGATTGCACTCTATAATTTTACATAAAATCTGCCCTACATGCTTTTCCCCCGGAAGACATGCTCAGAGCTTTATTTCTTTGTACGTCTCAGAAATTAAACTTTTTGCTAAGTTTTTCTTAAAACCCTAGTAGAAGAATAAGGCCTGGTTGGGGACAGGGACTATATATTTAAGGGCATAATGAAAGGGTGGCTTGAAGCAGGAACATGGCTTCTCAATGTCATGGGTGGATTACTGGACCTCCCCACCTCCACTCCCGGCGCTTGTATAAAGCCGGGTGAGGCAATTGGCTTCCACCCTGCAAATATGTCCCTGCCGTAGACCTTTGGAATTTCATGGATAAGGTCTATGAATTGCCTTTTACCAATGAATGGACATGTTTTTCCAAGGGGGAAAAAAATGCCCTTGACTTCAGTCACCTTTTTGTATGTCTCTGGAAGAGGGTCGAAAGCTGTGGAAGAAAATGAGGATTGTGGGTAAACAGATTTACTTTTGTGACAGACCTTAGGACTCTCTCACTAGCTATGCCATGCTTTTCAGAAGACTCTTGTACCTTATCTGGGATCTAATCTAATCTTGGGGAAAGAGGAAAAGGAACTAACATTTATTTTTTAAACTCCCTCTGTGTCAGATACTGTGCTAGGCATTTTTATAATTGTCTTGTCACAATAATCCTGGGAAGTGAATTTATTACCCCCGTGTTCTAAGTGGTGTATCTTAAGTGTAGAATTCATATATTCAACATAAATGGCCATGTTGAAAGAAGGAAAGATGTCATTCAAGTGTTTTCCTAATTTTTTTTATTATTACTATGCCCTTTGCAACGCGACACTGTGAAAACAACCCTTTGGGGGCATCTCCCTTTTCCAGAATCTCTCCTTGGCTCACCACCAGCTTGGTTTCCTCGTAGGGAGTGTTTTACTTGGCCTTCCTATATCTGATAAGCTACACACAAACCAGGAGAGGCTAGCAGGGTGTTAGTGCCCAGAAGAGAACGGCTTTGGGATTTTAGGCGCCTATCTCTTTCCTTGGAATCCTTTCCACATGTGGAAAAGGAGGCTGGTATCTGCAGTTAGGTATCAGATGTGACCAGAACAGGCTTTTGAGTACTCTGATTTCTTTCCTGGGTCCCAAGGCTTGTTTCATCCCAGGATGCATCTTTTTAAGGTGAAAAGCCTTAACCTCCGGAGAAGTTTAGGAGAATCTGATCTCCAAAGGTGGAGGAAAGACAATGCCTGGACCATTAACTTGAAATCCTTTCTTGTGAGCTAGGGTTTGACATCTCTTTTTGATCTTTGGACTGGGGCCTCTGTATTTTCCAGGCTAGTTTAAGCATTGAAACTAGATGTGAATCTCTTTCAAGACCTTAAATGTTTTAGATAGTCAGGTAGTGACTTGGATAGGCATTTAACTAATTTGTTCCTAGGTCAGAAGAGCCCAAGAATTCCCCAGAGTTTCTCTCTTTGCTTCTAAAGGCACAACCTCTAAAGAAAATGACTCATGTCTCCATGGCAACTGTTAAAGGTGCTGCCTAGAGGGGACCCGCCTCCGCCCTCACTTACTTAGCTTGAAAGAATCAAAAGAATTTCCTGTGTCAAGGGGGTGCTATGTCCAGTTTTCTTATGAAAACCGTTGCCAAGATTCCTGCCTCTTTCTAACATGGTAGCTGTCAAATTCCTTCAAGATGATGTAGGAAATGGCTCTTATCTCTTCGAAGCCAGAGAAATTGCTTTAATTCACCAAGACTCACCCCTAAACCAAAGGCCCTATTCTAATACTGTCTTCCCTCTCTACTCTGAATTCTCCCTTCTTTCCTTTCCAGGGGTTGTTTTTAGCCCAAGGCGTTGCATCTGATTGGGTAAGACTTAGAGGCAGTAAAAAGAACACTGTGAACTCAGCCAGAACTGCCTTAGGGGTCCCTAGGGTTGAGAATAGCTCTAGAACCTCGGAGACCCCTGGGCTTAGACCCAGAAGTGATAGAACAGCCCCTGGTTTCTGGCATTTCAGTCCAGATCTTCAGGGACTGTTCTCTCTTGACAGTCAAGTGAGCAAGGGAAGTTTCGCAGTAGATTGCAAGCCAGCTTTTCTGTATCTATTTTCCTAGAGCAGAACAAGGCAGCTGCCTTATAGGACTCTAAATTTGGATCAATTTCCTAACACACACACCCCCCACAGAAAGATACATGGAGAAAAAATATATAACTACTTTATCATTGAAGTACTTCAAGGAAGAGCTGCATTTTGCCGTATTGTAATCTCTAAGATAATGCCTAGGAAAGCATTAGTGTAATTATAATACCAAACTAGGAAAACCTAGTGATCACTCTCACGAAAGTTTGAGTTAGACTCGGATAGGAGGATGAAGGTCTGCTGGTCGTCTGGTCTTGTGCCCTCTCTGTGCCAGGATGCCTGCCACTAGCATCTTTCACTCACCTGGGCTTTAACCTGGACTCTGGCAGCCTTTCCCAACCCCAGGCACATATAGGACCCATCCCTCAGGACACGTGCCAGGTCTAGCCATATACCCCAGCATTTCTCACACACTCTCCCACGCAGCCAGTATGTCCCTGACTGTGGCACTTCAGCAGCTCCACTGGGACACTGGGACACCAGCGACTGGGGTTGGGGCCCCTTCGTCTAGGTTGGCCCAGATGTAACATTTTTAGCATTGCCTCTTCCAGTGTCGGGGACTCACTTATTCAACAGATTATATGGAGCACCTAGTATACTCCAGGCACTGAGCTAATCCCCAGCAATACACGGTTGACCCAAGCCCAGCTCCCACCCTCAAGGAGCCCACCGTTAGTGGGGAAGACAGTGTGGGAAGTGCCACTGTAGGGAATTACTGGGTGCCGCGGGAGGCTCTCAGAGGGGCAGCCGCCCAGCTTTGGAAATCGGGGGCTTCCTAAAAGAGGGGACATCAAAGCTCAAGGTTGTCAGAGGCCTGAGGGAGAGCATTGCAAGGGGCCTTCCAGGCTGAGGGGACAGCATGGGACTCGGCCAAAGGAGGGACAGTGTGGGTTGCCAGGGCCTGTGTGCAGAGAAGCAGCTGGAGCTAGGAGTTGAGGAGGGAGAAGAGAGGGATGTGGCCAGGGCAATCAGTGACCCAGCCCAGGGGGCATAAAGAGAGCTGTAGGTGATGCTCTGCCCCCTCTGAAGCCCACTGCTGAGGCCACCCAGAGAGATAAGTGTGATCCCCGTCAGGACCAGAAGTTCCCTCCGTGCTGTGGAGGTACACAGTTCCTTGCTGAGATGATTTACTCCTGTGTATCCTCCACCCCTGCCCCAGCTCTTTGTCCTCTCCCCCAGAGCTGTTTGATATCAAGAGCTTTAACCTGGGCTGGATTTAGAGACATACAGGGGACAGCTCTGGGTCATCCTGACCTGGCTGTAGAACCACCAAGGCTAAAAATACCTCTAGGGAACAGGCCGGCCTAGACCCTGGGATGAGGGTGCACCCTAAGATAAATACACGGGAAGCCGCCTAGGGCTTCCCAACTCAGGATGTGAAGTCTTCATTCATTCTACCGAAGGGCAGCCTCCCTTGGACAGCCTTTCCCCGGCTTGGGTCATACCTGGTGGCCAAGCCTCTGCTGTGTCTGCAGTGTGCACCTGTGTCCTGCCAAAGAAAGGGGAATTAAAAAACGAAAACAAAAAAGCACACGTGGATTGTGTGCACATGGAAAATACCTGCAAGCCTAGACAGCTGCCGTGAGCCTCGTGGGGACGGGGAGGCCCCTGGAGCCCCGCGCTCTTTGGGAGTGACGCAGGGAAGGCTCAGGGACAGCAGACAGAGTCTCTCTGTTTAGACAGCTCGTGGTGCCTTTTAGGTTTTCCAAAGAACCTATTCAGGGCTCAGAGCATTGGGTTTCTCTTCCCTTTGCCCCCAGACAAATAATTAGAAACTTTATAAGGAGAAGAAAAAGAATTAGATGAATCAGAATACCAGCTGTGAGGCAGCATGGTTGCTAGAAACTCAAGAAAAGGCCACAATAGGTAACATAATTTCCTTGAGAAGTTGGAGGCACCGGGGGCTGAAGGCAGTTTTCCTAGCTGAGGGGCTCAGGTCTCCTGACCCCAGAGGGCCCTGAGGACGGCTTGGGGCTCACCTATTGGCTCACCTATTTTGCAAGACCTCTGCACCTGCCCTCCTGGGTGCAGCCTGGCATATTCACTAGCCATCTGGACCCTTGGAAAGATTGTCGCTCAAACACCTACTCTTTTCCCAGATATTCCTCTGGCTCCTTACTGAGCAATTTCTAATTCTGTGTCTTGTGGTTCCCACGCGACTATCCCACCAGCCTAGGCGTTTTCATTAGAATTCGGCCTGTAGTAATCACGATGCTGGAAACTGACAGAATATTTGGCCTCAAATACACCTACTTTAAAATGAAGGTCCTGGAAGGTCCCCTTGGTCGGGGTGTGGTCATGGAATACGTCCAGGTTTGCCTTAGGGCACCCTCTCCCCATTGTCTGCCCTGGTCCAATTCCCTCTCCATCACCAGGAAGAGATCAAAATGCTTCCCTGCCAGGTGTCAGTGGCTGTGTATTTGCTCTTCCCAAGGGCATCTGTGTTTTATTTAGGATAAGGCGTTACATTCAAGGAAAATCTGGTGGCAGGATCAGGAGACATCAGCTCTCATTCAGGTCTGGGAGATAATCTTGAGGCATTGCTCTTCTGAGCACCTGCAGAGGCTTCCTCAGGTGGGCGTGGGAGCCCCGCAGGGAAGCCTGCCCAGCCCTCCACATGCACGTGAATTCTGTAAAGCCGTGGGTGCCCATCTGTTTGGACCACACGTGCCTGTCAGCAAAAACCTTGTGAGATGCATCCCCCCCGTATGTTTATTAATTTAAAGTATATATTCATATACTTCTGTACTAAAACATTAGGCACATTTTTTAAAGCGTACAACATAGAAATTTTTAAAGAGTAAGATACAGAATATTATAGACAGAGGTTCTGGTATTTTCACTCTGAAGCCCTGAGGGTTTGGTTGCCCCCTATATGTGCACAGCCACTTTGGATACCAACCACCATTTCAAGAGCAAATCCTCACCTTGATGGCATCCATCCCAAACTACTGTGCTGGTACTTGGCCTGAAGAATAGGAAGGTCTTAAAGCAAAACCCCCAGGAGATTCTAATCTGGGAGACAGGGCAAGCAAACTCTCAAATAGCATAAACTTAAACAATTCAAAACCCCATCCGACAGGAGAGCGGACTCCCTAGGCAGTAGTGGCTGTAGGTGCTAAGAAAAGATCAGGTACACTGTACAGAGCCATGGGGTTGCTCATATTCCCTCTCTGGGTCTCCAGAAAAGGACATTTGGCAATATCCCCAGCTCTCTCATGATTGGAATTCTTTGAACCCTCAAAGCTCTTCAGTAGTACTATTATTCCCCACAGCACCAGTGGGTCCACGTCGCTTGAATATTATTTTTGATTTGACCACCAAGATATGATGATGATTCTGTTTCATTTGAAAAGGGTCTGAGGAAGTATACAGGTCTAATTATATATATACATATTTATACATGTGTATTTTTGTTTATTGTTACATTTTGACATTGGACTTTCTATTAAATAATTTTTAACAGATGACCTGGCTTTGTTCTCTTTTGTGCCTTTCTTTCTCCCTGGATCTCAGGGAAGGGGCTGTTATAAATGTCTGCAAAAGATCTTGGGGCCTTCCTGTCCCTCTACTCCTCTGTCTTCTTCCCTACTGTGTGTACGTAAGTTCAAGTTCTGTTTTTACAGGAGATGTACTACATCAAGCACCCACTTGGAAAGCCCCCAACCTTGTTTTCATTGCCTCCAACTTTCAGGGACAGCCCACTCAGCTGTCCCATCAGCTTTCAGGGACAGTCCCATCAGCTTTCAGGGACAGTCCCATCAGCTTCTGCAAATTCATAAATTCATAGATTTGATGAAGTTGCAAAAAAGAGCAATGACAAAAAATGATGCCATGAGCCTCTCAAATCTCTTGTACACTCCTTTCCCTCCACCACACACACACACACACACACACAGTCCTAGATGTGAGACCTTGGACAAGTTACTTAACCTTCCTGAACCTACTTGAAAACAATACTTTTCTCATAGGTTTGATTTGAGGAGATCCCATAGTAAATGCTCAGTAAACAACCACCCACTTCCTGAAGGCACTCATTCAGCCAGCTGACATTTGTTAATTGCACAGTGTATGCCGGGCACTGGGGTCTCCCAAGTAGGGGTTCAGGGATGTGAGGAATTAAGGAATTCCCCTCTCTCCAAAGTCAGATGCAGGGGGAGCAGTATGAAAAATGAGGTATGTGCCTTAGAGTTTCTCCCGTTCCCCACCCTCAAACTCCATGACTATCTGGCACATTCTGGACGCTGAAAACAATTGATTCTCCCACTATGCTCGCCTTCCAGGATCTACCAGAGAGAAATACACACACACATAGTCTCAAAGCATGAAGCCAGAAGCAGTTTCTCTTGGCTCTGTCTTCCCTGTAGCATCAGCCTGTTCGCCTCTGACAGGTTGTCAAACAAGGCAAAAGCCCAAGCTTCTGCCCAGAGGAAACTTGGGACCTAAGCTTGTTCTTTCTAAAACAGTAAGCCTGTTTCTCCCTGCAGAAGCTCGCTTGAAATCACAAGGCCAGCCAAGCTTGAAGGGTTTCCTAACCCCACCTCACTCCCGACTGCACCCCACACACATACACACATGCTGGTCCCCCGTAGCCCTGATTGGGAACTTTGGGAGCTTACTTTAATCTCAAGCCACAGAGAAGTCAAGCTGCAGAGAAGACCACAGGACTGCCCCTCGTGTCCGCTCCCCAAGCTCTTGTAAGCAATGTCAGCGTCCAGTCCACTGGTCGTAGCTGGACTGAAGCCTGCACGTGGTTGCCTGGAGTTCTCTTACTTGGAAGCGGGAGTGGCGGGAAGTGACACATGAGTGATGGAGGGAAGAGGAAGACTGATCTGATAAAGCCTCATCAACAAATTGGAGGGAAGTGAGTGAAACGAGACCACAAGTGCTCACACTCAGCCTGGCCCAGCAGATGGCTGTAGAGGATGGGTGCTTCTCCTCAGGGGTCTCCCGGCCACCATCACCCCTGCCACGGGCACTGCCCACCCACCATTTCCATCGCGAAAGCTTAAAGTCATCTGGTGAGGAACATGAAGTTTTAACTTACTAGATTCACATCATGTTACCCACTCTCTTGACAGAACCCAGCTTCCATTGGCCACTGCTCTTAGCCGGTCCTCACCCTATACTACCCTGCTGTGTTTATTTTCCTACTCTGGTTCCTGCTCTCCCCTCAGGAAAATTCTCCCATTTCTCCTTATTACAGAAAATTGAACTTCCTTTGAGGTCCAGTTAAAACTGACCACTTGTATGAGACCTCGTCTTATGGCCCAAGACATGCCAATCTTTCCTGCCAAAGAACTCCCCTTTCAGCAGAGGCCAGGTGTTGGGGGGGGGGTAGAAGCCCTGAGAGGCTTGAGCCACAGAGAGGTGTGGTGTAAGACTAGGTCTCCAAGTGTAAGGTGAGGCCTAGAAACCAGGTCAAGTTCAAACACTAAGAGCCGAGTTGCTGGTACTGAGGAAGGGTGAGTCCATGGCAGAGGCCAGAGCAGGCAGGTAGCAGATCTGAAAGCTGTGATGGTCATCGAGGGAGTATTCAGGGAGAGAGTGGAGTGGAGCATCTGTGTGCAAGGAGATGCATAAAATAAATAAGCAACAAGGAGATAATGTACAGCACAGGGAATTATACCCATTATCTTGTAATAACATAATGGAGTATAATCTGCAAAAACACTGAATCACTATGCTGTACACCTGACACCAATACAATATTGTAAATCAACTATACTTCAAAAGGAAGAGAAAGAAAGGAAGGAAGGAAGGAAAGGAAGAGAAAGGAAGGGAAGGAGGGAGGAAGGAAGATGTGCGCCAAACTATACATTACAAACAATGTTGTAGCATTATTTCTAACGGAAAAACAGAATGCACTCTTAATGCCCATCAAAAAGAGAATGGATACAGGCTTCCCTGGTGGCGCAGTGGTTGGGAGTCCGCCTGCCGATGCAGGGGACATGGGTTCGTGCCCCGGTCCGGGAGGATCCCACGTGCCGCGGAGCGGCTGGGTCCGTGAGCCATGGCCGCTGAGCCTGCGCATCCGGAGCCTGTGCTCC